AAAACCCTCTCCTCCAAACTCTTGATGTTATTTAACTGAGTTACAGAAACATTCAGAGACCAGTATGGAAAAGAAGATACTGCCAGCATTTGGCTAATTAGTAATTTGTGTCCACAGCTCCCTTAAATGGCATTAGTCAGATGTTTGTAGGAAAAACAGGTAGACTAGGAACTATCTTTACACATATTCCCACTGCACAGGGGTGTTTAATAAGCTCTGCTTTTGAAGAATAGATACCTTTGGTATAGTTGTGTTGCCAGATGAAACATTAAGCCACATAAATCATGTTTCTGATTTATTATCAGGCAAGCTGTTATTGTGAAAAGTATAATAAAGGGTAGCAAATAAGGTAGAAGTCCCTGTGCCACACTTATGGCCATATCCATGTTCATTAGTGTTCTTGTAAACTTAAATATTTAATACCTAACACAGCTTTGTGGGCAAGAATTAAAAAAGAGAGATTGTTGAAATCTCTGAACACCACATTAATTTTTCATTCATTGTCATTAAAATCTCCAGCTCACACCACTATCATTAAGGTTGCATCTGCATTTCTCCCTAAACTCCTATTTTCCAAGTTTTATAACTCAAATATAAATCTGTTTGGTGCTATTGCTTGTCTCAGAAAATGCTGGGTGCATTTTATTTGGAAATCTTTAAAGGGCATTTTTATTTAAAAAAAAAAAAAAAAAAAAAAAAAAAAGGAATTTGTATACCTACTGTGCCTTTTATTTCTTTCCTTCTGTTTATAATTTTTTTCATACATAAAGCAGATTTGTTTCTATTGACATGCTATGTAAGTAACAGCCTTATGGACAGCTAAATTGACTAGTAATGGAGAGCTGTCAGGTTATTTTCTTTCTCATTAAAGTCTTTATTTTGTGCTCCATAAAACACACACAAATTCAGCACTTCACTCTTCATCCGTTGAAAGTCTGTTAAATTATCAAAGCAAGCAGCAGAATATGACCATAGATAAAAAGAAAAACATCTACCTCATTTGCAGTAAGAAACGCATTATTCGCCTCCGCCATGTTCATGTAGTTGTTATTGTTCCCAAACTAAAAGAAAAATAGATATTGGGATTTTAATCAGTGCCATGATAAGCCTTTATGATTATATGGTCAAAACACGCTTTATCCTATCAACTACCTAGAAAAATACTGCAACCCCCAGCACAGTCACCTCTACCAAGCTCTTTGAAAGGCACTTCACGGGTCCATTTCTAAAACAGGTAATAATTCAACCCCACACTATTATATTTTTTTCAAAGACTTTCCCACCCACTTACAAGGTCCTGTGGGGAGCCATGACCAAGTGAATTCTTAGTAGTGCGATTCAAATTACAGATGGGCTAAAAAAAAAGAAAGGGCAAGGAAACCTGCCAACTTTTTTCAGTCTACCATTATCATCTCATCTCTTCTTCACCACAAAAAATAAAAAATATTTGCTCATGTCTCATTCCAGTGAAGTCTCCCACTGCCAGTGAGGCCTGAAATGTCAGGAGATTGGGTTGGAGACCAGGATTATTGCAGAGATGCTGGATCTCTAACAAACAGCAGGAAATTAACCAAAATTGAAGTGGGAGCAACAGACCATCTCACTGGGTGCATCTACTAACCTAATGCACAATAAAGCATCACCGTCTACACATGTGCAGCAATTACTGTGCAGTATATTAGTCTAATGCTCCCTTTTCTACTCCCTGTACTGCATGTGTAGACACTGACCGGGAGGAAATTGCTCCCAGTCAGCCTAGGCAACAGGGGGCCACAGGGGACAGAGAGAGCTGTCTTGGCTCAGTAAGAGGTACCTGCCAGCCACATGGAGATTGGGACCCATCCTGAGCTCCACGGGGCTGGGTGAGCTGTCCTGGCTACCTGGCACCTGCCTCCCAGCCAGGACAGCTCACTTCCCCACTGCCACGCCCTCCCTACTCAGGGCTGCTGCAGGGGAGCAGAGCAGGGCAGGAGCAGCCCTGAACGGGACTGCTACTGTCAGGCTCAATTTGCACCCGATGAGAGCGCATGTGTAGACACGCGCTGGGGACCACTTTAATGAGTCTGAATTTTCTGCACAGAAAATTCAGACGTGTTAATTGCATGTGTATATGTGCCCACTGAGGGGCAACTTTTCACACATGTGAATAAATCAGAGGATACTCATAGACATTTCTTTCCCTAAAACCCTCTCCTCCAAACTCTTGATGTTATTTAACTGAGTTACAGAAACATTCAGAGACCAGTATGGAAAAGAAGATACTGCCAGCATTTGGCTAATTAGTAATTTGTGTCCACAGCTCCCTTAAATGGCATTAGTCAGATGTTTGTAGGAAAAACAGGTAGACTAGGAACTATCTTTACACATATTCCCACTGCACAGGGGTGTTTAATAAGCTCTGCTTTTGAAGAATAGATACCTTTGGTATAGTTGTGTTGCCAGATGAAACATTAAGCCACATAAATCATGTTTCTGATTTATTATCAGGCAAGCTGTTATTGTGAAAAGTATAATAAAGGGTAGCAAATAAGGTAGAAGTCCCTGTGCCACACTTATGGCCATATCCATGTTCATTAGTGTTCTTGTAAACTTAAATATTTAATACCTAACACAGCTTTGTGGGCAAGAATTAAAAAAGAGAGATTGTTGAAATCTCTGAACACCACATTAATTTTTCATTCATTGTCATTAAAATCTCCAGCTCACACCACTATCATTAAGGTTGCATCTGCATTTCTCCCTAAACTCCTATTTTCCAAGTTTTATAACTCAAATATAAATCTGTTTGGTGCTATTGCTTGTCTCAGAAAATGCTGGGTGCATTTTATTTGGAAATCTTTAAAGGGCATTTTTATTTAAAAAAAAAAAAAAAAAAAAAAAAACAAGGTATTTTTCTACTGTATGCAGCTCTACAATGTATGAGGATGGGGCATCACACATTTTCAGAGTTACCCCCACATTTTTTTCCTTTTGAAGGGAGCATCATGCAGGGTTGCCAGAAATAGATAAATCCCTGCTTAGAGGGAAGTTCCATTCCACCCCAACTTTGCCCAGGCTTCCCACTTGCAAGTCCTGGGGAAGAAGAAATTTCAGGCCACATGTTGCAGCACCAGAGAACAGAAGTGTGACGGAAGAGTAGCTTTTTCAAAGAAGGATTAATTTCCCTGAGAGTCTCAAGAACCTGTACCTCTAAAATCAATGATGGGATTGGAAGACAGGTCAGAGGAAAGAAGATAGGAATTAACACATGGTTCTTGTAACTGAGTGCCTTTGTTTTGCTTTCACCAGACACTGGATCAGGGCCCTCCTTGCATGTGGAAGAAAAAAAGCAGCAGAAAGAATGAGGGGAAACTGGGGAAAGAGGGATGAAAACATAATATCTTCAATTTGAAGTATTACAAGGTTGGGTTCCTACTCCCCCCAACATATGACATTAGAGCGTGTATGTAAAAACAGAATACAATGAAAAATTTAGTCTATAATATAGTGTAAGCAAAACTTCTGTTTACTTCATACATGTATTATCTCGTAACTGTATGTATATGTATGGCTAGAGGTGATATAGATGTAACATTCACTCAGGGGTTTAGTTCTAATGTCAGCTACAACACATTCACAGAATTTTTTTTCCAGGCAAGATTGTGTGTGGATTTTAGCGCACAGACTTAGTACTCATGCACAGCAGTCAGATTGACATGATAGATTTTCTCATGTCAGTGAGCCGAGAACTAAGAAGGATTTACATGAAAAACTCTAATGGCTCCAAAGGAGCTGTTCTCCTCTATGATAATAAAAAGTCGCTTTTTCAAATAATACCTACATGTAGAAATGTACAATAGACCAGAATGGCTCTAATAGAATATACTGGGTAAATATGTGGGTCCAAATTCAACCCTGCTATCAATTAACATAATGGCCCTGAGGTTGCACCTGCTCTCAGTGGGGCTGGATTTGGCTGCATGTGCTTAAAAAATTGTATATTGTCTTGCTCTTCATATCAGTCTACACATCAGTCTACAGAAGCTGATTGCCAAAACATTTTTTCTCCATTTTATGTTGTTAAATTAAAACAAAAGGAAAATCACAGATTGAAAATTATTTCTAAGTGTCATTGAGACTGTAGAAGCAAACAACGAAACATGCACAATCGAAGTGAAGGTTGCAACAGAATCGTTAATTTGCTGTTATTGTGCTAGAGTATTTCAGCTTCTTTTATACATCACTTCAGGCACTCGGCAGCCCCTGTCGTATTTCAGCTTTTGTCAGTGTGTATCACAACTTTAACATTATTTAAATGTAATTTTTAGTCTATGAATTAGAAATCCATTTAAAACAAACAACTCGTTATCAGTGAATATTTTTAAGATTAAACTTACTTATCATCTAATAGTACCTACAACAAAGGAAAATAAAATGGTTATTATCTTAAGGACCTAAACAATTCAAAAAACAAATTAAGCTTAGAGTGAAATAAGAACTGGGTTAGAAATCCTCTTCTGAACAGTTAGTATGCGAATGTAATTACTGAAGAAACTACAGCTAATCAGCTGTGAATTGTATCCATTAATTAGTATTTGCCCTGGAGAGATGAGAAAAATCAGTAACAATGTTAACACTGCAATGCACTGATGAGTACTGAAACACAGGGCCCTCAGCATTTAGTCAAGCAGGTGGCTCCAATGGTCCAAGTAATTTAAAAAGCTCTCACCTGAAGTGCAGAACTGGAATTACAAAGCACTTCTTGCATATCTTTATATCTATATAAGGCTATAATTAATGGCTTTTAATTTAGAAACACTTTGTGATCAGCTGGGAACAGTTATAAATCATTCTAAATAGAACAAGGTGTTCTATTCTATTTTAGTAAAATATTTAATTTGAGAAAAATGTTTTGTGTGACATGATTCTTTCGGAAGTCAACACTTTTCTCAATTAATTTCTGGAGACCATTTACCTAACTACTAACAAATATCAGGGAAGAGTGGCACATGCATGCACATACCCATACCCACACTTGAGAACCAGTGTACTAATTACGAGCGAAAGCCTGCCACTGGATTTACAGTATGGACCCCTAATGACTTCATCTGCTGGTCTAGAGGTGCATCTAACACAACTACGTAGCTCCTATAACTTGCTGTTCATGCTGGTCTACATGGTGCATTTTACAAATTACTTAGTAATAGTAGCAAGGTTGTAACAGTCATGTTAAATATGCAAGAAACAGGATGTTTAGTAATAACTTTTACTGAACTAACTATATAGTTTTAAGACATGTCAGACAAGCCTTGGGGCACAAAAAACTCTTCCCCAAGTCAGAAGTAATGATCAGCAATACTTTATACCGTACTGTTCCTTTAACAGGAAGATCTCAAAGCAGCCTACAGCTACTAATGAAAACACATATCTTAGTTCCCTGCAGCAGTATACAATGTTACCTCAATGATACATGACGGGAAATACTCTATTTTACTAGACTTGCCTCACCTGATAAAAGTCAATGGGAATTTTCCTACTTCAACTGAGTCAGGATTTCACCCTGAAATTTAGCTTTTAGGGACAATGACTAAAATCTGTTCGTCTGTCAGCATCTGTTCTGGACAATAAGAAGTTTCTTAGAGTCCCCACTATTAACGTAATCCAAAACAGCCGAGTCATTTCTATTGGGTATTTCAATACAGGCAGTCCTCGGACTTGCGACAACTGGTTCCTGAAAACCCCGTCTTAAGTCGAAACATTATAACTCGGAAACAATTTTCCCATAGGAGCAATGTTCTAAATGGCGGATTGGTTTCTTTACAACGCTGGATACAGCTGCGTTCAGCTGATAAGTCTGTTGTGGTGGAAGGGGAGGGAGAAGAGGCCCTTGCGGTGAGGGAGAAAGTGGGGCCGGGGCCGGGGCAAGCACTGCCCAACGGAGGAAGGGCGGGCATGGGATGAATCCACTCCGGGGAGTGCAGAGAGGGAGGGGGGGCAGCTCCCACTCTTGTGTGGTGGCTATCCAGGAGCTGCTTATCTGGTGGCTCATCCGGCAGCTCCCGCTGCTGCTCCTGCCACTTTT